TACGCTTATATAATCTTTAACTCATTATAAACTCTATAAGACAAAATCAAATGAGGTTCCAACATTTAAAAAAGATCTCTACTTCGTTGTCAAAACACACAATTTCATACAGAAAAATTCATTCGAAGGCAATTGACATTGAGACGTTTTCACACACATTTCTAATCTCTATATACATGACTATCACTGGTCACAGTCGCCCACCTTCTGAGCTCCTTGGCATCTGAGCATGAATACAAACTCGTCAGAAAGACAGCCTTCCTCTCCCGCTAGAGCCTCCATACTCTGCCATCCCTGCCAGTGTCCACTGTGCTGTCAGGACCCCCATCCATTCCCCCCATCTGCCCTTCTGGTAAATCTAGTCAGCCAGAGGTCCCTGATCCAGGAGGATCAGCTGTTCCTCATCTATGGCAATCTATTGTCAATATTCCTTTGGATAGAATTGGGGTCTGCTGTTCATTTTTCCAGTAGTATCTTGGAACTGTCTGGAAGAGCCTTTATCCATCCTGTCCAACAACTCGACTGAAGGTAAATAAAGTATTTTAAAGTAACTGATCGGGGAGATGGGTTAAAAATCAACTTTACCTTTGAGGCTACGTAAGTGATCCATCCGTACTTATGGGAGGACTTCTGTGTAAGTTTACAGTCACCACTCTGCTACTTTGTCAGAAAGCTTATGGGATTATTCCTACTTCCATCCATTTCTGTTGTTTCCTCTTGAATTCAGTTTTTTTTTAATTATAGTTGAAGATTTGTAACCCTGATTTTCAAAGCTCTTCTCCAAGTTAGTTCTGCTTAAATTCTAGAATATTAGAGAGTGGGTTGGCCCAGGAATGGCTTTCCCTGTGACAGTCTGAGGGATGCTTGTGTCTGCTGGCAGGTCTTCACCAGTCCAGTTGTTGGAGGTCTCCTGTCTTTACTCTTGTAGTTTCCTGAGTGTAATGATCATTTCCTTCAGACAATTTTATATATAATTTGAATCAATCATTTCATAAAATCTTCCAGTGTTACCTTGCTTTGTATCTTTAGGTGATCTGTAAACACGAAGACTGTTTTCTGGTGGAATAAAGTTGACTAGTCACTTTCTCCTTGATGTTCATAATACCCAATCTATAAGCCAAGGTTCTAAGTATGGCCAATGTTTAAAAGCATGGCTATTCACATTCAGAAAGTTCAAGAATGGCCAGCAAGATAGCTCAGCAGGTAAAGGCACTTGCTACACAAACCTAGAGACTGGAATTCAGTCTCTGGAATCACATGCACATGCCATGACACATGAACACACACACACACGCACGCATGCACGCACACACACACATGCACGCACGCATGCACACACGCACACTTTTAAAAAAATAAATAAAACATTCAAGAAATAAAATTAGGAATTGAATTAGAACTGAATGCTGGGATTAGATGCTTTTGGTAATAAAAATTTAAATACCTTCCTATTGTTGAACTGTATCCCTTCATGTGTGTTTAACAAGAGGAAAATCACAAATTGGGAAAGAAGAAAGGAAAATGGGAAAATTTGGTAACTTTTGGAAATAAAAATTATGATTATTAACATTTATGATGTTCCCCGAAAATCAGTCAGCATTGGTTCACCAAGTTTATTCCTTAGTTTAAGAAGAGAGTAAATTTAATTAACTTTTCTCTCCCATATTTCAAACTATGCTGTGAAATATATAAACTAAATACCTTAATTTCTTTAACCTTCTACAGGTGGAGATTTTCATTTTACCTCTATGTATTTAGCTACGGAGTCCGATTCTTGAAAAAGGTAGGAACTATCAAGTTATTTCATATAACTCTTATATAATCATAAGCCTAAATCTAATTTTTATGGACTATATTTTAAAAAAACATAATCTTCTGTAGTTCATTTTTCATAGTAAATCAGTTTTAGACATATGTCTAAAATAATTTTGAAAGAAATTTGTTTTTCCAGTGGAAGAAGTTATGAAGTGCTATATTTGTTCTAGCTGGTTATGAGCTCTTTGCATTACAGTTGTATAAAATCCAGCTGATGTTATGAAAGAAGAGTTTCTACACTGCATATCACACAACTTGAAAACATTAATTTTTGGAATTGGTGTTACCACTCAGTAAAAATTGCTTTTCAGTGTCTTGCATATTAATTAATAGGGTAACACCTACTGCTGGTAGTGAGTTCAGTTCTTTTTATATTTCTATTCCATTCCTTCTGCTTTTCTGACCACAGCATAAACTCTGTGAAGATACCTCCATATGAGGTACAGTTATCTTTCCCCTGGTGATTTCAGTGCTTAAAAGTACTACTGACAAATTCAAAACTCATAAAAATTAATCTTTAAAAATTCTTGCTGGGCTGGAGAGTTGGTTCAGTGGTTAGGAGGTAAGAGCACTGACTGTTCTTGCAGAGGACCTGAGTTTGAATCCTAGAACCCACAAGGTGGCTAACAATCATCTGTAACTCCAGTTCTAGAGGATCCAATGCCCTCCTCTGACCTCCTTAGGCATTGCATAACTCAGGTGTACTTACACACATGCAGGCAATACACTCATACACATAAAAATAATAACTAATTTTTTTTAATTCTTGTATATATTAACAATGGTAATTTGGTGTAAAATGGAAATTTATTTTTAAAGTGCATCATACCTCCAAAGTTATATGTCAGCGTTTATTTATTACAAAAATGTCTCTGAAATAGGAGATGGGCCGAGTGGCTTGGTTTACTAGTAAATATTACAAATATTGATGTGAAATTTTCAAATATGTCTTTATTTTTAATGTCTGAATTATCAGCTGTTGCCTGCCTTTGGAAAGTTCTCCTACAAGTAGTGGTTGCTTTCCAGTATTGTAGCTTCCTGGAAGAAATCCTCTTTTCACTGCTTATCCTTTCCCACTTCATAAGATTGCATGGTCTGGGGCCCATTTGAATAAATGTAAATAGATGAACTTCACTCTAATGATGCAGAAATTTTCAACTGCCATTGGTAGACATGGCAGAAACTGCTTAGCTTGAACCCTCCTATTCTTGTTTTCAAATTTACTTGCTGGGAAACAAAACTGAATGATCATAGGGCATTTATGTTTACACAGAAGAGGAGATAGCTTTGGGTAGAATTTGAGCTCATGTGGCAGAGTTGCCCTTCACTGGAATGTGAAGCTGCCAACCAAAATCACTGTGTGGGATTTGTGCTTGCTTCTGTTGTGAGAGGCTGAGACGGTGAGAAGGTGGGAGCCAGGAGCGCACGTTTGCCTTGCCCTCTCTTTTGATGGCTGCAGTTTTCACTAGTTTGCCCATGGCAAGCGTGGCCATCTGACATCAGAACTGGAACCACTTTGACATCACTCTAGTTCATTCTGCCTCATCACAAACTGAATGGAATGAATGCTTTTCTCTAGGGTGAAGCAGAGGATGAAGAGCTGGAGGCCAGTAGACCGTGTAAGGCAGTAAAAGCACTGTCAATAGAATGTTTGTTTGGGATTTTTTTTTTCTTAAACTTGTCCGGTTTTACACTAGTTTCCTTTCAGCTGCTTCAGAATATAACAAATATTTTATAAAGGATAAAAGACCTAGACATGGTTCTGGTTGAGTTGACTTGTATTGAGGGTTCTTTCTTTAATGTTGTCTGGAGCAGCGTTCATTTGGATGAACCATTTGGTTTATTTTCTGTCATAATGTGGGATAGAGAGTCTATGTTACCAGTATGTCTGTGGAAGACTTATAAGCCATTTTGTCAACCCTCTATTTAATGGCCGAAAACATACAAATTCAGAAAGGATAGGTGGTATGTTGAAGGTCACACAGTTAATTTACGAAAGATGAGCCTCAAATTATACACATACTGCTGTCTCGTCTCACATTCCAGAGCTTTCTCACTTTGCCATTTGCACGATTTCCACATGACTTCCTTCTTTGATTAACAAAATTTACCAGATCAAGTCATTTTTCCAGTTTAAATAGATTTTAAAAGCTTTAGTGTCTTAAAATACTTTGATGAGCTTTCTTGGAAAAGACAATATATGTATCCATCTAAACCAAGAGTAAAAAAAAAATGTGGATGTACTCTCAAAAAAAGGATAAACTTTTCAGAATATTGTAATTTGTTAACAAAGGATAAATATATTTTTACCAACATAGCATAAAGTCATCTTGGTGTTCAGATTATTCTAAAAAATTATAATAGGAAAATTCTTATGTAACACCAGAGTAATGGACCAATATTTATTCTCAGTATTGAAAATATGGCTTATTACTGGCTGATGGAAAAAAATGCCTGGAAGCTTGCACTGTCCAGTTTTCCCATCTTTAGGTCAAACAAATCAACTCTTAACTCATCCTCTAGGGAGACAGAGTGCCATTTTTGCCCTAAAAGATTAGACAAATGGGCCCCGTGTGGCATTCACATTACAGATATGTAAACAATATTAAGTCAGGTTATTGCTAGGAGTGGTGGAAAATACCTAAATAATTTGAAATAAGCCTAACTTTGTATTTCCTGATTCTGTCAGTGCTGTGCACAGGTAGCAGTGCCCAAAAGTATGATTGATAGACATGTACCTTTCTAAAAAAAGGTCCCAAACTACTTGAGGTGCTCTGAAGTCCTAGCATGCAACATATTCATAAAAATTAACATACTTTCCTCGCCTCAGCCATGAAATAAACCAAACCACACATATTGGGGTATGGTGCAGTATATTTGTAATCCCAGCACTGAAGAGGCTGAGGCAGGAGGTTGGAGAGCTAAAGGCAAGTCTGGGCTGTTGTTTTTCTTTGTTTGGTTGGTTTAGTTTGGATCATTTTTAGAAGGAATTTCTGTTTGAGGAAATTTACTTTTTAAATCCCTCAATTTACTTTTTTAAAATTTATTTTTATTGAATTTTTGTGTAGTTCATACAGAACATCTCAAACAATCTTAATCATCTTTATACCCCCACCCCACCGGCACCCTCTCACAGACCTCCCCATTGGAACCCATATACTCTGTCATCCGTGTTAAGGCCCACTATGTCAAGTCAGTGTCCCTAGACGTTCTCCAATGCAAGTCCCTCCACTGATAAAATAGATAATGTCAGGGGCTGGAGAGATGACTCAGTGGTTAAGAGCACTGACTGCTCTTTCAGAGGACCTTAGTTCAACTCCTAACACCCACATGGCAACCAACAACCATCCATAACTCCAGTTCCAGGGGATCTGACACCCTCTTCTGACCTTCATAGGCAGTGCACAACAAGGGTGTGCATACATACATGCAGGCAATACACTCATATGTATAAAATAAAAATAATAAGTAAAACATTTTTTTAAATATATATAATGTCACAGGAAAGTAATCTAGATATATGTCCTACTAGGATTTGAGTAAAAACCTTTTCCTTATAATTTACACATTGGGCTAATATGTAAATTTATTTCTAGTCTTCTGACCATTTGGTACATTTTTGTGTCAGAATCCATTTTTTACATATGCATATAAAAGAAAAGCTATTGAACATACACTTAACTTCTGTATCCAGAGTCTGTTAAGCGACTGAATGTACAAGTGTTATTTTAGGAACTACTACAATATTTTTAAAAGATCTTACTCAGGAACTGGGGAGATGGCTCAGTGGTTAAGAGCACTGTGTGCTCTTGCAGAGGACTCAGGTTCAATTCCCAGCACCCACATGGCAGCTAACAACCATCCGTAACTCCAGTTCCAGAGAATCTGAAGCCCTCTTCTGACCTCAGTGGGCATTGCATGCCACTGGTGCACTTGCATACATGCAGGCAATACACCTAAAATAAAAATAATAATAAAATGATAATTACAAAGGAGGAACCACTAAGGCTATGTAAGTCAAAGCAACTGAACTGCCAGTTTTTGACTACCAGTGTCTGGTAAGGAGCTTGCACCTGAATCTGACTCACTGCTTCCTTTTGAGACAGTTTGCCTAAGAACTAAACAGTGGGTTTAGTGATCAGTTAGCTGATGCTTTGTTATAACCTCCTTTGCCATTATGAATCAGTAGCAAACATCTCAAGGACTGGCCCTTTCCATTAGTGCTGCCCATGGAGGTAGTAATGGCAAGAAAATGCTAGCACTCTGTACCCATGAATTTCAGAGAGAGCCCAGAGTTCTTAGAACTGAAAAGTACAAAAGAAAAAGCCATCAGTCCAGCAAGATTTCTGAGGAGGGGCCTCTGGCCAGCTGGTGTCCCTGAGGGAACAGTGAAGCTGGCTTTGTTTTTTGTTTTTTTTTAATATCTGATCTATTATTTTTATTTTATGTGTATGCATGTATTGCCTGCATGTAAGTAAGTCCACCCATATTGTGCAATGCCTGAGGAGGACAGAAGAGGCTGTTGGATCCCCTGGAACTGGAGTTATGGACAGTTGTTAGCTGCCACGTGGGTGCTGGGATTCGAACCCAGGTTGTTCTAGTTTGTTTTTCCATTGCTGTGACAAAACACACTGACTACTACCAACTTGGGGAAGAAAGGGTTTATTTGTCTTACATTTCCCAGGTCACAGTTCATCAGGGAGCCCAAGGTAGGAACTCAGGGCAGGAACCCCGAGGCAGGAACTGGAGCACAGGCCATGGAGGATCACTGCTTACTGACTTGCTCCCCTGGCCCCTGCTCAGCCTGCTTTCTTATGCAACACAGGCCCACCTGCCCAGGGGTGGATCACCTACAGTGGCCTGTACCCTCCCACATCACTCAACAATCAAGAAAATGCCCCACGGATATGGCCACAGGCCAGTCCAATGAAGGCAATTCCCAAATTGAAGCTCCCTCAACCCAGGTGT